GCTGTGTCAGGCAGTGCCAGAGCTCCACCGTCGTCATTGAGCCTTCCCCCGTGGTGGTGACCCTGCCCGGCCCCATCCTCAGCTCCTTCCCTCAGAACACCGTTGTGGGCTCCTCCACCTCCGCTGCCGTTGGCAGCATCCTCAGCTGTGAGGGAGTGCCCATCAACTCCGGGGGCTTCGACCTCTCCTGCATCACCAACCGCTACTGCGGCACCAGGTGCAGACCCTGCTAAAGCTGCTGCCAGCATCCTCGGGCAAGGACCTCCACCACCTCCCACCATGGATCTGGACAGGAGATAGAGCTTCGCGGCGCTGTTTCCTTCTCCCACTCTCCTCTCCATTCCTTTCCTGTCTCCACCTCCTGCACCAGCCCAGTGGGGACCTCTTGGCCTCCCTCCCTCCCTGTGAGGGACAGGCAGGCGGACACCCTGCAGGAGCTGCACCGCATCTTGGTGCCTGCCCCCGGTGCTCCCTGGGAGCCACCTCCTTTTCTTCTTTACACTCATTAAAGTTGTGCTGCATCCAAGCCTGGGTCTCTGAGTCCTCCTTCCTTCTGTGGGAAATCTTACTGTCTGCTTCCCTTGGAGGTGACAAAGACATCCCTGGCTACTCGATCGACAATTGCCATCCATGAGAACACATCTGCAAAGGGTGGCAGGAGTGGGCATGAGGAGACAATACTGCTCAGGAACAGCACACAGATTCTTCTCTGCTTTTCTCCCTGCCTTCCTCTCCCCTACATCACCCAGCACACCACCCTTACATGCCCAGCACACATGGGCACAGGCAGATGAGATCCTACCTCATACAGTCCTTCAGCTGTCCTGGCAGAGCACACCTCTCTTCAGGCATGAAGGGCTGAGTTATCCCAACACTTAGGACTGCTATCAGCCAACCCAGGCTGTCCAGCAGTGTCCCCACTACCTGTGAACCCAGCACTCCCAGGGGGATCTCATTGTATTTCAGGTGTTCAAATTTGTCCCTGATCAAATGAATGTGGCTTCCTTAGGAATGCAAAAATATTGATGTGCTTTGCAATGATAACTTGAAAATTTCCTTTGTACACCTTGGTCTTCAGTCCTGGCTAATGCCCTAAATCCTGGCCCCTCTCATAAAATCATAGAATCAATGAGGTTGGAACAGACCTTTAAGATCGTCAAGTCCAACCCTTCCCCAGCACTGCCAGATCCACCAGTAATCATTGTCACTAAGGCTCTCATGTAGACGTTGTTTAAGGCTTCCGGGGCTGTTCAAATTGCACCACTTCCCTGGGCAGCCTGTTCCAATTCCTGATCACGCTCTTGATGTAGAAATTGTTCCTAATCTCCAGTCTAAACCTTCCGTGGTGTTGCTTGAGGCCATTTTGTTTTGTCCTATCACTTCTTACCTGGCAGAAGAGTCCAACCCCACCTCACTACAACCTCCTGTCAGGTAGCTGTAGAGGTAAGGTCCAGAGTACAGTTCCCTATGTCCTTTAGCTGTTCCAAATCACACTTGTGCTCCATGCCCTTCAGCAGCTCCACTGCCTTTTTCTGGCCCCACTCTAGCACCTCAATGTGTCTCTTGCGGTGAGAGGGACAGAAATGATCACGGGATTTGAGGTGCAGCCTCAAATGCCCTGGTCCTGCTAGCCACACTGTGTCTGATCCAGACCAGGATTATCCTGGCCTTCCTGGCTGCCTGGGCATTATACAAGCCATATTCACATCCACCAAGCAGCACCCCCAGGTCCTTTTCATGGGCAGTTTCCAGCCACTCTTCCCCAGGCCTGGAGCGTTGCAAGGGGGTTGTTGTGGCCCACATGCACACAGTACTTTGCCTTATTGAACCTCACACCATTGGCCACAGCCCATGGATCCAGCCTGTTCAAATCCCTCTGCAGAGATTCCCACCCTCCAGCACATCAACACTCCCATCCAACTTGGTGTTGTCCACAAATTCACTAAGGGTGCCCTCCATCCCCTCATCCAGATCACCAGTGAAGATAGTAAACAACACTGGCCCAAACACCAAACTCTGAGGACCACCACTAGTAACCAGTCACCAACTAGATGTGACACCATTTACCACCGCTATTTGGAATCCTCCATCGAGCCATTTTACAATCCAGCGAAGTATCCACACTTCCAGGCCATGAGGAACCACTTTCTCCAGGAGAATGATATGGGACACAGCATCAGATGCTTTACTCAAGTCAAGTAGACAATGTCCACAGCCTTTCCCTCATCACCTAGGTGGGTCACCCTGTCATAGAAAGAGATCAGGTTGGTCAAACAGTACGTGCCCTTCAGGAGTGCAGGTGAACTGGGTCTGATACCTCCATTTTCCAGCACATGCCTTATGGTCTAACCAAGGATCATTTGCTCCATGACCTTCCCCAGCACTGAGCTCAGGATGATAGGCCTGGGGCTTTGGGAAAATCCTTCCTGCCCCTTTTATAAAGAAGCATCACACTGGCCAAACTTCAACATTTAGGGATCTGCCCACTACACCAGGACTGCTGATCAGTGATGGAGAGTGGCTTGGCATGCTCCTCTGCCAGATCCTTCAGCACTCTTGCTTGGAGCCTTCAGGACCCATAGACATGTGTACGTCTACGTGGAGAACCACTTATTCCTGGATTGTGGGGATTTTTATAAGCTCTCCATGTGTGTCACCTAACCTGGGGGACTCTGCTGTTACCAGTGTCATTTTCCCGACCAGTGAGGTATCTCAGCCCTGCAGGCCTGGAGAGAGCTGGGCCCTACCAGGCACTGAAGGACTTCATTAGGTAGGACCTCATCTGACAGTGCCTATGTATGTTGGCCATGTATGGATAGAGTGCTGGGTGATGTAGGAGAGAGGAAGGCAGAGAAAAGAGCAGAGAAGAAGCTGTATGATGTTTCTGAGCAGTATTGTCTCCTCATGTCCACTCCTGCCACCCTTTGGAGCCATGATTTCACCAATGGCCATTGTTGCTGGAGTAGCCAGGGTTTCTTTGTCACCTCCAAGGGAAGCAGACTGCAAGATTTCTAACAGAAGGAAGGAGGACTCGGAGGCTCAGGCTTGGATGCAGCACAACTTTAATGAGGGTCAAGAAGAAAAGGAGGTGGCTCCCAGGGAGCACCAGGGGCAGGCACCAAGATGCGGTGCAGCTCCTGCAGGGTGTCCGCCTGCCTGTCCCTCACAGGGAGGGAGGGAGGCCAAGAGGTCCCCACTGGGCTGGTGCAGGAGGTGGAGACAGGAAAGGAATGGAGAGGAGAGTGGGAGAAGGAAACAGCGCCGCGAAGCTCTATCTCCTGTCCAGATCCATGGTGGGAGGTGGTGGAGGTCCTTGCCCGAGGATGCTGGCAGCAGCTTTAGCAGGGTCTGCACCTGGTGCCGCAGTAGCGGTTGGTGATGCAGGAGAGGTCGAAGCCCCCGGAGTTGATGGGCACTCCCTCACAGCTGAGGATGCTGCCAACGGCAGCGGAGGTGGAGGAGCCCACAACGGTGTTCTGAGGGAAGGAGCTGAGGATGGGGCCGGGCAGGGTCACCACCACGGGGGAAGGCTCAATGACGACGGTGGAGCTCTGGCACTGCCTGACACAGCACTCATTGCAGCTGTTGGCCAGCGGGGTCGGGCCGCAGGGCTGGCAGGGCACGCACGGGTTGCAGCAGGACATGTCTGGATGCTGGAGCTTCACCTGGACACAGGGCAGGGGCAAGCAGAGGATGGGACACGGGAGCAGCAGCTCTGCACCCAAGCCTGGGCAAGCCAAGGCACCTCCCGGCCCAGCACACGCTGAGCACCTCCAAGCCCAGCAGCCAGCTCAGCTCAGTCCCAGCCTCTCTCTGCACAAGCCCTTCTCTCCCCTTCCCTCTCCCACCACAAGCAGCTCCCAGCCCTGCGCTACCACAGCCCCGCTCAGCTCAGACACACGGGGAGGAACGACCTGCTCTGGAAGCAGCAGCACAAGAGGCTTCGCACTCACCTGATTCCCAGCAGAAGGAGGCGAGAGAAGTGGATGAGGAGCAGAGACCTGGGCTGCCTTTTATAGTGGCCCTGCAGTGCCTCAGGCCCACAGGCACCTTTGTGGCAGCAGGAATTTCCTGGCAAGCTCATGGCAAATGCAAACCCTCCCAGGTAATGGCAGGGGCCGTGTCCCAGTTTCCAGCACTGCTGCCTTTTAATTTCCTGGCTCATGTGCTTTGCCATAGGAAGGCTTCTGTCAGTGCCGGGATGAGAAGCCCAAGGGTTTGCAGTGGAGGATCCCACAACTGTAGGCCCAGCACAGGTTGGTGCTGCAGTAGGCTCCAGCCCTCCCAGCAGAAGCCCATCTGCACACAACAATGGCCTTCCCTCAGAGAGAGCTGAGGGGAGCAAGAGGAAAGGCTGTGCCATGTCCTCTGCTGTGGCAGCCCTGGGGCATGCGGAAGAGAAGCAGCAGAGCGGTGCCCATTTCCTGACACCTTGGCCACAAGCAAGCCCACAGGAATGAGCCAGGAGCACATCCCCTGCCTGCACGGGATGCACCAGCCCTTGATGGGAGGCTTCTGCTGCGCTCACGTGGTTCTGCCCCGGAAACCCTTGGGCTCCTCATCCCGGCACTGACAGAAGCCTTCCTATGGCAAAGCACATGAGCCAGGAAATTAAAAGGCAGCAGTGCCGGAAACCGGGACACGGCCCCTGCCATTACCTGGGAGGGTTTGCATTTGCCATGAGCTTGCCAGGAAATTCCTGCTGCCACAAAGGTGCCTGTGGGCCTGAGGCACTGCAGGGCCACTATAAAAGGCAGCCCAGGTCTCTGCTCCTCATCCACTTCTCTCGCCTCCTTCTGCTGGGAATCAGGTGAGTGCGAAGCCTCTTGTGCTGCTGCTTCCAGAGCAGGTCGTTCCTGCCCCGTGTGTCTGAGCTGAGTGGGGCTGTGGTAGCGCAGGGCTGGGAGCTGCTTGTGGTGGGAGAGGGAAGGGGAGAGAAGGGCTTGTGCAGAGAGAGGCTGGGACTTGAGCTGAGCTGGCTGCTGGGCTTAGAGGTGCTCAGCGTGTGCTGGGCCGGGAGGTGCCTTGGCTTGCCCAGGCTTGGGTGCAGAGCTGCTGCTCCCGTGTCCCATCCTCTGCTTGCCCCTGCCCTGTGTCCAGGTGAAGCTCCAGCATCCAGACATGTCCTGCTGCAACCCGTGCGTGCCCTGCCAGCCCTGCGGCCCGACCCCGCTGGCCAACAGCTGCAATGAGTGCTGTGTCAGGCAGTGCCAGAGCTCCACCGTCGTCATTGAGCCTTCCCCCGTGGTGGTGACCCTGCCCGGCCCCATCCTCAGCTCCTTCCCTCAGAACACCGTTGTGGGCTCCTCCACCTCCGCTGCCGTTGGCAGCATCCTCAGCTGTGAGGGAGTGCCCATCAACTCCGGGGGCTTCGACCTCTCCTGCATCACCAACCGCTACTGCGGCACCAGGTGCAGACCCTGCTAAAGCTGCTGCCAGCATCCTCGGGCAAGGACCTCCACCACCTCCCACCATGGATCTGGACAGGAGATAGAGCTTCGCGGCGCTGTTTCCTTCTCCCACTCTCCTCTCCATTCCTTTCCTGTCTCCACCTCCTGCACCAGCCCAGTGGGGACCTCTTCTCCTCCCTCCCTCCCTGTGAGGGACAGGCAGGCGGACACCCTGCAGGAGCTGCACCGCATCTTGGTGCCTGCCCCTGGTGCTCCCTGGGAGCCACCTCCTTTTCTTCTTGACCCTCATTAAAGTTGTGCTGCATCCAAGCCTGAGCCTCTGTGTCCTCCTTCCTTCTGCGGGAATTCTTGTGTTTCCCATATTATCTCTTATCTGAGTGATACAACGGCTGCACTGTGCTTATATAATCTTTTAGACATAAACCATTGGCTAAATATTTGACGTCTGCATCCAGTGCAACTATACTGATCTCTGAGAAGCGGTTTAGGAAGCAGGGGAGTCATTTCTTGATGTTGTCAATATATTTCTTCTTTTCTCTTAAGATTGAAGTGCACCAGTCCATTTGCAACAGCCAGCCAACAGGCCAAGGAAATGGCTTTCCTGGTGACACAGATAGTTTTCATTATTTGTGACTCAACAGTGGTTGAATGGGGTATTGCAGTTGGTACCCATCAATTCCTTTGTGCCATTGTTTCCTCTTCATACTTTTCCTCTTCTCCATCATGAGCGTTTACTATTGCCTGCAGTCTTTCAAGGCCTGCTCCTTGTATGTCTTATTCGTTTCTGGGTAGACTGCTTCAGTGTGGATTCTCCAGTGCACACAGTTCTGCCAGGAGCCTGCTTCGCCATGAGCTCTGCAGAAGCCATTGTTCCTGTAGGGAATATCAGCCTGGTCTGGCATGGGATGGTCCATGGGCTGTGGTGTGGATTTCTGCTCCACCACTGTCTTTCCTTTGGCCTGCATGGGTATCTCTCCACCATCACCTGGAGCACCTTCTTCATCTCTTCCTACCCTGGCCTTGGTGTCTACGGGATTGGTTCTCAAATGGGTTTTCCTTTACTTCCTGGGCAGAAGTCTGTCCTTTCTTAAACACCTTTTCACAGAGGCACCACCAGAGTGATGGGCTCAGCATTAGGCAGCACCGAGTCCATTTTGGAGCTGCCTGGATCTGACTCTGTCGGACATGGGTTGAGCCCCTGGATTCTTCTCACAGAAACCATCCCGGCACCCTTCATCCTCCTGCTACCAAAGCCTTGCCACATAAGCCCAGGGGAGTGGGTCCAACCGAGTATGAGGCACAATTATAGAAATAGAAATTTCAACAGTAAATGTCCATGGTAGATCATTTAAGAAGTAGAAGTGGTGGAAGTAATTATGGTGATCTCCTTAACGTTATCATCATCAGATCTCAACTGTTGTATCCCACATTCGCCCTGGGCCTCTTTACACTCCTCCAGGCACTTTCCCAAAGGATTCTGCCCATCAGGTCACCAAGAGGACAAAAATCTGCTCTTACCAAGTACACGGTTGTAATTTTGCCTTCTGCTTTCACAGTCACTGCATACTCTGGACAGGAGAGCTATCCCAGCCTTTCTCCAGAACCCCAAAATCTCATAGATCTGCAAGTACACACACACCTTAAAGTCAAGCTGTGTGTGTTCTGGCTCAGGCTCTTGCCTTCCAAATACCTGGGGTCAAGCTGGAATGACAAGTCAGTGAGTGTGCTGGTTTTGCCTGGCATAGGGTTAAGCATCTTCATAGTAGCTCTCAGGGGCTATGATGTAGATTTGTGCTGAAAAGAGTGTGGATAACACAGGGATGTTTTCATTGTAGCTGAGCAGTGCTTATATAGCAGCAAAGCCTTTTCTACTCCAGAGACTGCACTAAACCCATTTTTGAAAAGGAGGAAAAGATCCAGGGAATTGAAGTGCCTGACAAATTCTGGTGCCTTCTACAACGGGGATTTGACACTGTCCTGCACAACATCCTTGTCTCTAAATTGGAGAGAATGGATAGGATGGATGGACCATGTAGTTGATAAAAAATAGGCTGAATGTTTGCACTCAAATCGTCTCCTCTGGGGACAGGCTGAGATAGCTGGGATGCTTCATCCTGGAGAAGAGAAGGCTCCAGGAGATCTTGAAGCAGCTTCCAGTGCCTAAAGAGGGACAACAGGAAAGGTGGAGAGGGGCTTTTGACAAAAAAAAGCATGTAGTAGTAGGACAACATTAATGGATTTAAACAGAAGGAGGGTAGATTTAGATGAAATTTTACGCAGAAGCTCTTCCATGTGAGGGTGCTGAGGTGCTGGAACAGGGTGCCCAGAAAAGCTGAGGCTGCCCCATCCCTGGCAGTGTTCAAGGCCAGGCTGGACACAGGGGCTTGCACCAACATGCAATCATGGAACCAGTCCATGCTGGTGGTAGGGGAATTGGAACAAAATAAGGTTTAATGTCTCTTCCAAAACAAAATGTTCTATGGTTCTATAATTTCATGAAACATGAAATTCATTTACCATGTTTACAAGCGACAAAATTCACTGCTGTGACGCCAATCCCTCCCACCTCCAACTTTTCCCCTGAACAGAGTGAAATGGTGACTGTAGAAGGAAGGAGGACTCAGAGGCCCAGGCTTGGATGCAGCACAACTTTAATGAGTGTAAAGAAGAAAAGGAGGTGGCTCCCAGGGAGCACCGGGGGCAGGCACCAAGATGCGGTGCAGCTCCTGCAGGGTGTCCGCCTGCCTGTCCCTCACAGGGAGGGAGGGAGGCCAAGAGGTCCCCACTGGGCTGGTGCAGGAGGTGGAGACAGGAAAGGAATGGAGAGGAGAGTGGGAGAAGGAAACAGCGCCGCGAAGCTCTATCTCCTGTCCAGATCCATGGTGGGAGGTGGTGGAGGTCCTTGCCCGAGGATGCTGGCAGCAGCTTTAGCAGGGTCTGCACCTGGTGCCGCAGTAGCGGTTGGTGATGCAGGAGAGGTCGAAGCCCCCGGAGTTGATGGGCACTCCCTCACAGCTGAGGATGCTGCCAACGGCAGCGGAGGTGGAGGAGCCCACAACGGTGTTCTGAGGGAAGGAGCTGAGGATGGGGCCGGGCAGGGTCACCACCACGGCGGAGGGCTGGATGGCGACGGTGGAGCTCTGGCACTGCCTGACACAGCACTCATTGCAGCTGTTGGCCAGCGGGGTCGGGCCGCAGGGCTGGCAGGGCACGCACGGGTTGCAGCAGGACATGTCTGGATGCTGGAGCTTCACCTGGACACAGGGCAGGGGCAAGCAGAGGATGGGACACGGGAGCAGCAGCTCTGCACCCAAGCCTGGGCAAGCCAAGGCACCTCCCGGCCCAGCACACGCTGAGCACCTCCAAGCCCAGCAGCCAGCTCAGCTCAGTCCCAGCCTCTCTCTGCACAAGCCCTTCTCTCCCCTTCCCTCTCCCAGCACAAGCAGCTCCCAGCCCTGCGCTACCACAGCCCCGCTCAGCTCAGACACACGGGGAGGAACGACCTGCTCTGGAAGCAGCAGCACAAGAGGCTTCGCACTCACCTGATTCCCAGCAGAAGGAGGCGAGAGAAGTGGATGAGGAGCAGAGACCTGGGCTGCCTTTTATAGTGGCCCTGCAGTGCCTCAGGCCCACAGGCACCTTTGTGGCAGCAGGAATTTCCTGGCAAGCCCATGGCAAATGCAAACCCTCCCAGGTAATGGCAGGGGCCGTGTCCCGGTTTCCGGCACTGCTGCCTTTTAATTTCCTGGCTCATGTGCTTTGCCATAGGAAGGCTTCTGTCAGTGCCGGGATGAGAAGCCCAAGGGTTTCCAGGCAGAACCACGTGAGCGCAGCAGAAGCCTCCCATCAAGGGCTGGTGCATCCCGTGCAGGCAGGGGATGTGCTCCTGGCTCATTCCTGTGGGCTTGCTTGTGGCCAAGGTGTCAGGAAATGGGCACCGCTCTGCTGCTTCTCTTCCGCATGCCCAAGGGCTGCCACAGCAGAGGACATGGCACAGCCTTTCCTCTTGCTCCCCTCAGCTCTCTCTGAGGGAAGGCCATTGTTGTGTGCAGATGGGCTTCTGCTGGGAGGGCTGGAGCCTACTGCAGCACCAACAGTGCTCTCAGGACACCTGTGCTGGGCCTACAGTTGTGGGATCCTCCACTGCAAACCCTTGGGCTCCTCACCCCGGCACTGACAGAAGCCTTCCTATGGCAAAGCACATGAGCCAGGAAATTAAAAGGCAGCAGTGCTGGAAACTGGGACACGGCCCCTGCCATTACCTGGGAGGGTTTGCATTTGCCATGAGCTTGCCAGGAAATTCCTGCTGCCACAAAGGTGCCTGTGGGCCTGAGGCACTGCAGGGCCACTATAAAAGGCAGCCCAGGTCTCTGCTCCTCATCCACTTCTCTCGCCTCCTTCTGCTGGGAATCAGGTGAGTGCGAAGCCTCTTGTGCTGCTGCTTCCAGAGCAGGTCGTTCCTCCCCGTGTGTCTGAGCTGAGCGGGGCTGTGGTAGCGCAGGGCTGGGAGCTGCTTGTGGTGGGAGAGGGAAGGGGAGAGAAGGGCTTGTGCAGAGAGAGGCTGGGACTGAGCTGAGCTGGCTGCTGGGCTTAGAGGTGCTCAGCGTGTGCTGGGCCGGGAGGTGCCTTGGCTTGCCCAGGCTTGGGTGCAGAGCTGCTGCTCCCGTGTCCCATCCTCTGCTTGCCCCTGCCCTGTGTCCAGGTGAAGCTCCAGCATCCAGACATGTCCTGCTGCAACCCGTGCGTGCCCTGCCAGCCCTGCGGCCCGACCCCGCTGGCCAACAGCTGCAATGAGTGCTGTGTCAGGCAGTGCCAGAGCTCCACCGTCGCCATCCAGCCCTCCGCCGTGGTGGTGACCCTGCCCGGCCCCATCCTCAGCTCCTTCCCTCAGAACACCGTTGTGGGCTCCTCCACCTCCGCTGCCGTTGGCAGCATCCTCAGCTGTGAGGGAGTGCCCATCAACTCTGGGGGCTTCGACCTCTCCTGCATCACCAACCGCTACTGCGGCACCAGGTGCAGACCCTGCTAAAGCTGCTGCCAGCATCCTCGGGCAAGGGCCTCCACCACCTCCCACCATGGATCTGGACAGGAGATAGAGCTTCGCGGTGCTGTTTCCTTCTCCCACTCTCCTCTCCATTCCTTTCCTGTCTCCACCTCCTGCACCAGCCCAGTGGGGTCCTCTTGGCCTCCCTCCCTCCCTGTGAGGGACAGGCAGGCGGACACCCTGCAGGAGCTGCACCGCATCTTGGTGCCTGCCCCCGGTGCTCCCTGGGAGCCACCTCCTTTTCTTCTTTACACTCATTAAAGTTGTGCTGCATCCAAGCCTGGGTCTCTGAGTGCTCCTTCCTTCTGTGGGAAATCTTACTCTCTGCTTCCCCTTGGAGGTGACAAAAACATCCCGGGCTACTCCACCGGCAATGGCCATCAGGGAGAGCTGGCTTCAGAGGGTGTCTTGAGTGGTCGTGAGGAGACAGTACTGCTGGAGGGCAACCAACAGCCTCATCTCTGCCTTCTTCTCCCCTACACACCCAGCTCACTACCCCTACATGCCCAGAACACACGGGCACAGGCAGATGAGATCCTACCTCATACAGTCCTTCAGTACCTGCCAGAACCCAGCTCTCTCCAGGCATGAAGGACTGAGGTAACGCAACACTTAAGACTGGTATCAGCAAACTCAGGCTGTTCTATTTAGTCCCCACTACCTGTGAATGCAGCACCCCCAGCAGGATCTCATTCTATTTCAGTTGTTCATCTTCTCTTATCAAAAGAATGTGGCTTCTTTATGAATGCAAACATATAGATGTGCTTTTAAATGATACTTGAAAATTTCCTTTGTAGGCCTTGGTCTTCATTCTCAGGTAATGCTCCCTGTTGTTCTTCACTGTGAGCATGTGATTTATATGTAAATAACCCTCTCCCCCCACAATGGAGACAATTCCCCATTACAGTTCTCTGGAGGGAGATTGAAGCAGTCAAGATGCCGGAGTCTGTGCACCCAGTAACCTCATCCTTACAAAGCTTCACATTTCCTTGTGTGCACCATGTCAGAGCTATTTGATGTCCCTCAGGAACAGTTTCACTGTCCCCATTTTCTGTGCTGAATGCCCTCACCTCCCGCACGCTTAGCTCCAGCCTCGGGGCATTCAGCAGTTACTCCTTCTAATAGCACATCCCTGTTACTCCTGCCCATGGCTGCTGGTCATGGCACCTAGACTGGGTCGTGGAGAAAAGAGGAAGGTGGAGTAGAAGCCATTGGCTATCCCAAAGACTGTTCCCTCCATTACGACTTCTGCTATTCTGCAGAGCAAATAATCCTAATTATTCTATGATCTGATTCTATGATCACCCACTGCCCCTGCCACCCCAGCACAGCTCTGAGAATAACAAGAGAAATGCCCTTCTTCAAGAAGTCATGGATTTGCTGATGCCTCAAGGCCTCCTGCCATGAGTGCTTTGTGGACACAGCAAGGGAAGGCCAGATAGTCACTGGCAGTAGAGCAACCAAGGATGTATTCCTCATCTCCAAGGGACAGTATCAAAAAGCTCCAGCTCCTGCAGGGTGTCCCAACCTCCCATTCATTTGTGAATGGAAAAGAGTCTCCTTGTGCCCTCACCCCCTTCCACTCATGAGCAACACCCTTCCCATTTGGCAGCCTGGTGAGGCTTCACAGAGAGAAGGATCACAAGGAGGCCAGGCTTGCCAGTGAAGCAGAACTTTAATGAGTTAAAAGAGGGAAACAAAGACTGCAAGTGGAGGGCACCAGTGCAGGGATCCCTTGGGGAAGCCAAGAGGCTGTGGTTCTTGGCCGTGGAGAAGAGAGAGAAAGGAAAGGTCATTCAGCTGTGTTGAAAGCAACATCCAGAAGATCGATCCTCTGTCCAGCACCATGCCCTGACTTCCTCCATGTTTCTTCCTGGGGCTCTTCCAGCACGTTTATCAGAGGAGGTACCTCCTGCCACCATAGCGTCGGGAAATGCCAGAGAGGTCACAGCACCCGGAGTTGATGGGCACTCCACCGCAGCTGAGGATGCTGCCAATGGCAGCGGAGGTGGAGGAGCCCACAACGGTGTTCTGAGGGAAGGAGCTGAGGATGGGGCCGGGCAGGGTCACCACCACAGCAGGAGGCTCAATGACAACAGTGGAGCTCTGGCACTGCCTGACACAGCGCTCATTGCAGCTGTTGGCCAGCGGGGTCGGGCCGCAGGGCTGGCAGGGCACACATGGGCTGTAGCAGGACATGTCTGGATGCTGGAGCTTCACCTGGACACAGGGCAGGAACAAGCAGATGAGCACAAGGATGGATGAGGAGCAGCCTGGCTTTCCTGTCACAAAGAGCCGAGGCTGCTAAGGAGTGGGCAGCTGGAAGCTGTGCCGGCTGCCACACGGCCTCTATTGCCGATATAGAGCAGCCTGGGACAGGGAGGGTCTCTTGGAATTTGTAGACCAAAAGCCCCTTCAGCCACTTCCCAGCCTTTCTCTAGGCAGACATTCTCCCCACTTCTCTCACCTATGCACAGTGCTGCAAGCCCCAGCACAGGATAAGGCTAATATCAGCTGAGAGTTTCACTGAAGATAGACTGCGCTTTTAAGAGGAGGACAAGGGGCTTCAGACTCACCTGGTTCTCAAGGAGAAGGAGGCAGGAGAAGTGGATGAGAGAGCAGGGACCTGGGCTGCCTTTTATATCTGCCCATCATTGCCGCAGGACCAGAGGCACCTTTGCAGAGGTAACAATTATCTGACAAGCTCATCTTGATGCAAACCATTGCAGCTAATGATATGGGCTGTGCTTTGGTTTCCAACACTGCTGCCTTTTCATTTCCAGGCTTGGACCATGCTTGTTTCCCAATGAAGGCTACTTCTGAGCACAGGCATGAAAGGCCTTGGGATTTCTCAGTCAGGAATGGTTCTGGGGACCTATTCTCAGGCAATCTGACCCAGCACTGCACGTGGAAGCTCAGATGGAGTGTGCTGGCTTTCCATCTGGATCCCACCCTATGAAATGGAGTCTCTTGCTCATGCACTTCACCTGAGAAAGCCTAGGGTACTTTGTTGTGCTGCTGCTGTTCCAGGGTGGCCTGCCTCTCCCAGGTGTATTGGGTCTGCTCTGCCAACCCTGTTGGAGTCTTTGCATGCCCCTATTTATCTCAGAGGGCTCTAGACAGCATTGATGGGGAATGGATGGTAGCCTGCAATGTCCTGCAATCTACTGTGTATAGTGTTCCTTGGACATCTCAGATCCTGCTTTTGGTTGCTCTCCAGGGATGCAGAGGGCTTCAACGCCATGGACACAGTTCTGTCCCTAACATAAAGAATGACAAGCAGTGATGGCTGAGGACAGACCCAGGCACACACTTGTTCTCCAGCCTCAGTGGGGTGTCCAAAGGTGAGCATCAGCCTGTCCTTGGGCACTGCTGCCTGGGCCTGGCTGCAGGTCTATAAGGCAGGTGCTCAAGCTCAGGTGAACAAAGGGGGTTGCTGACTCCCCTTCAGAATCACCACTGCTTCTGGAAGGGAGAAGTAGATGCTCACTCCAGACTCAATCATCTCATTTGGAGGGCTCTACAGGTGAAATCAATCCCACACTGTTCATATACGTTTATCTGCCATGTTGAGGTCTCCTTAGGAAGTGGTTGCATGGACTCCCTTCCCTGTCACTGTGCAGAAAGAAGAGCTTGGAGAACATGATTCATCTGTTCTGAAATGAAAATCATAGGAAGGTGGAAAGCAAGTGCCCTTTGGAAGTGCTAATGACCTCTCGATGAATGCAAAGACAGACTTTTTACCCAGCCAGCCTCCCACAGCTCTGCAATTTGAGGACTTTGCCAATCACATTAAAGTGTTTCCGCAACAGAGCCCAAAATGAGTGGAACAATGGAGTATTAAAATCATACGTGGGGTGTTAGATATGGAAATGTCCTGACACATCTAGCATGAATCACAGCAATTTGAATGTTTTAATAAAAACTAATAAAGTACATGCAGGGGCTGAGGAGAGGAAAGAAGAGCAGTGTGAGTTTTGTTGCCAGTCCTATGCCAGGAATAATGGCCATAGGTTATACCAGAAAGTGTAGATTTTATCTTGAACCAGAACCAAGTTTCTCAGCACAGCTACTAGGGGTAAGGCTCACCTCTGTGGTTTTGCCATCTCACAGGCAGGGGAAGGGATTCTGCTGACAAAGTGGAAAGATGTATGATGAATCTTATATTGGCTCCTCAACTTACCCCGTTCTTCAGACAGAGAAAAGAATAGGGCATAGCTGCAGCGAGAAAACATCGGACTAAATGGGGAAATGAGCCAGCTGCTGGGACTTCTTTAGGGATTCAGATGAATCTCTGACAAAATGGAGCACTGAGTAAACTGTAATACAAGCCTGTAGGAGGAGGACCCCTCCTCCAGTGTTCTGTCAGAGAACTGTTTCTTGATGGGGTTTGTGACCTTCCCCAGGAGCTGGTCCTTAGAGCAGTGTGAGAGGAGCATTAGAATTATAGAATCAAGGAGAATCATAGAGTCAAGGCTAAGCCCAGACTAAGGAGGCTGTAAGGTGAGTGAGATGAGCTCACTGGGGAACTGCGGCTTCTGACTACCTGTGATGCCCTGGCACATTGTTAGCTCACACTGAGGTCTTCTGAAAACTTGCTTCACTTCTTCTGGAAAGCCCGCCCCAGAGCTTGCTTCACTTCTTTGTTTCTGAATGTGTAAATGAAGGGGTTCAACAAAGGAGTTACAATTGTGTTAAGGGTATTCACGATTTTTTTCACATCCATGTTGCTCTGGGCTGATGGCTTGACGTATAGGAAGATGATAGAGCCATACCAGATCGTGACGACACTGAGATGGGCAGAGCAAGTGGAAAAGGCCTTTTTCCTGCCATGGGCTGACTGGATGCTGAGGATGAAATAAATAATGTACATGTAGGAGACCAGGATGACCACACAGGAGGCCACCACAACAATTATGGAAACAAGGAAAGTCGCCAGCTCCACGGGCCACCTGTCACTACAGGAAAGGGCAAGGCAGGCATCTATATCACATAAGAAATGGTTGATGACGTCTGGCCCACAGAATGTCTGCCTGGATGTCAGAAAGGCCAGAAGTGAGATGGCCAGAAAGCCTCCCAGCCAGGAGCTGAGTGCCAGCCGAGCAGAGATGACACTGTTCATGAGGGAACTGTATCTCAAAGGGTAGCATATGGCTAAGTAGCGGTCATAGGCCATGACAGACAAGAGAAAACACTCAGTGGAGCCTAGGGAGAGAAGAAAGAACAACTGGAAGATGCAGACACTGAAGGAGATGGTCTGGCTAGTCCCCAGCATGACTCCAATGGCTTTGGGAACAGCACCCGTAGTGTACAAGATCTCCAGAAAGGAGAGATTACAGAGGAAAAAGTACATTGGAGTATGGAGGTTCCTGTTCATCCACACGAGGGCTATGATGGATGTGTTGCCTGTTACTGTCAGGGAGTACATCAATGCAAACACAATCGCAAAGGAGACCCGGGAACGCCACGTGCCTGGGAAGCCAAGAAGGATAAATTCTTCCACAACTGTCCCATTCGCTGTGTGCCTCCAAGTGTTGAGGTCCATCTGCAAAGACAGGATGTTTCTGTGTGAGTTTGCATGCCCCTACTGGTCCTTCAGATGCTACCAGTACTGAAACAAATCCAGCCCCAAAGAGGAGTTTGTGCAGACCATGGGAAAACAGCAGCTATCCTAACTGAAAATTGCCAGGAAAATCCTTCCCTGCAGAAACATGTTTGGACAATTAGATCTGACCCTGAAACTCAGGCCTATAGCACCAAATGAACTGTTGTTACTCAAGGAGCTGCAGTTCTGTATGTTTGCTTTCTTCCAAGCCTCATCATAGGAAGCTTTAGCATATACCTCCATTACCCCCACTGACATCTGCTTCTCAGCACAGCTACTAGGGGTAAGGCTCACCTCTCTAGTTTTCCCATCTCAGACAGAGGAAGGACTTCTGTTGACCAAGCACAAAGATGTATGATTGAAGTACACTTATCTCACCTCCTCAGCTTATCCATGGCTTTTCTTCGGACAGAGAAGAGGCATTTGGGAGAGAAACGTGGCTTATCTCACCTCATATACATGGCTCAAAGCCCTCTAGAAGTTCCAGATTGTCTTTAAGGACTAGTGCAGGAGTCTAGCAAGCAGCCTGGGCAAGTAAACTGGACATCTCAACTTCACAGAATCATAAAATGGTTTGAGTATGAAGGGACTATAAAGGTCATCTAGTTTCCCAGTGGTTGAAGGCAAAATTCTGTGAGGTGATCCCCTCACAAGGTAGCTCTGCTGAGAAGCCAGGTAAACCAGGGGCTTCATCTGTGTCCTGAGGAATTTACATACCAGAAACCTCATGTGGTCAAAGAGCAGAGAAATCCCTTTTAATGTGGCTCTCCTTAAGCATGCAAGGGATTGGAAGTCTATGCCTACAGCATACATTTGTCATATGTCTTGGGCAGGCTTCACTCACCAGCTCAGCTAATGGAAATGATCCAAACGACATCTCTTCATGCACCATCCTCTAAATGAAGCTGCGGTCCCCTCAGGCTGAGGGAGAACATTAGAAAGAGGTTGATTTATTGGAGGAGCTCTGGATGCCGTGATGTCAGGAGAAACTCTCATCTCATGGACCCAGTCGAAGCTGTATACAGCTGCCTGGCATTGTTTCCTCACCATCCACCCTAATAGGTATTGAGAGCTCGGGCTCCTGATTTTCTTCCCCCCTGCACACAAAGCCACCACTGTACATCCACAAAGGGGGGGGGGGGGGAACGACTTGTGCACACAGACACACACACGCAGGGTGAAGCCTCTGCAGTTTAGCTCCATATAGCGAGGGCATACATCAGTCACAGCATCATTAGCATAAAACCATCCCCACACCCACCTCATTAACACACAAGTTCAGTCTGGCCACACCAAGGAAACTTTTTGCTGTCTTCCCTCTGTGTGCCCCAGGGAGTGTGGGATCTTATCTGCTTGTTACAGACGGATAATGCTCTCTCTTCACACAGGCCAATTAAAGAGCAGCAAAGCAATTCTCTGAAGTGGCTGCCAGGCTGAATGTTAGCCTCCTTACTGCACCTGTGGTATGTGAACCTGGCCAGGAACTCAGTGCTTGCCCTGCTGACATGCAGATGTCTGAAATAGCCATGTCCCAGAGACTGGAATTGCAAAGTATCTGGTGCTGAACTGTAATGTGGTCTTGAGACCTTTAGCATGGGAGATAACTAAAAGCAACTACTCTGCTCTCGTGAGACCCTACTTGCAGCATTGTGTACAGTTCTGGGGTCCTCACTGTAAGAAGGACATGGAGCTGTTAGAGCAAGTCCAGAGGAGGCCACAAGGATGGTCAGGGGCTGGAGCACCTCCCTTGTGAAGATAGGCTGAGAAAGTTAGGACTGTTCAGCCTGGAGAAGAGAAGCTGCGTGGAGACCTCAGAGCAGCCTTCCAGGGTCTGAAGGGGGCTACAAGGATGCTGGGAAGGGACCTTCATTAGGGACCATAGTGACAGACAAAGGGTGATGGGTTCAAGCTGAAACAGGGGAAGGTCAGGTTAGATCTAAGGCAGAAGCTCTTCCCTGTAAGGGTGCTGGGGCGCTGGCACAGGGTGCCCAGAGAAGCTGTGGCTGCCCCATCCCCTGCAGTGTTCAAGGCCAGGCTGGACAGAGCCTTGAGTGACATGGTTTAGTGTGTGGTGTCTCTGCCCGTGGCAGCGGGGTTGGAACTAGATGATCTTAAGGTCCTTTCCAACCCTAACTGTTCTTTGATTTTATGATTCTAACTATGAGTACAGAGAGAATAAGGTAAGGTGTTCACCTATGTCATTTCAGAACATGAAGCTTCAGTTCAGCCTTGGCTGCCTTGACCATGTGGAGCTTAAAGCTTGACCATGTGGAGCTTAAAGATCCTCAAAGGACTGACCAAGAGAACAGGATGACTACTGCCCTGGGTTTTAGAAGAGCATATCTTCAAGTCTTCAGGGACCTAGCTACTTGGCAGGATGCATTGGAAAATGCCCTGGTGCTAAGAGGGTCCCAGGAGGGCTGGTTAACCTTCAAGGACAGACTCCTCAGAGCACAAGGATCATGGAATCATAGAATGGTTTGGGTTGAAGGGACCTTAAAGCTTATCCAGTTCCAACCCCTGTCATGGGCAGGGACACCTTCCACTAGAGCAGCTTGCTCCAAGCCCCTGTGTCCAACCTGGCCTTGAACACTGCTAGGGATGGGGCAGCCACAGCTTCTCTGGTCTGTGGGTCTCTCCAAACCAAACACTCTTCCACATTCAATGTCCCATAAGAAGGAGCTTGAAGCCCAACAGTGAGCAGAGTGAATGCCATCTGAGATGGCCAGAGGCAAGACCTCATCCTGGAGGGGAGAAAGATCTTCCCTCACCTTGTCATCTATGTGGAAGGAGACAAGAGAAGTGAAGGAGGGAAGGAGCAAGGAGTTCTACTGGCTCTTTTGCTGGTCCTGCACTTGCCCAAGTCCACAGACACTCTTTGTGGAGGTAGTAATCTTCTGACATGCTAATTTACAAAGCAAGATGTCCCAGCTAATGGTGCAGACTGTGTTTTGATTTCCTGCAGTGCTACCTTTTAATTTTCTCCTTTCTAGTATGCCATTCCCTCATGGAGTTCTGGGAACATGAGCCCAAAGATTTCCAGGGCAGAAACACATTAGAACAGGCAGAAGATGCAGACCAAGGGCCACAGGGATCTTGTGCGGGCACATGATGCAAGGCTGTGGCATTCTGGTGGGGTTGTTTGTGTCTTTCTTTGCAGGGAGTGGCTCGGCTGCTTCTAGCCCTGAAGTCCTCAGCCCCACATCCCGAGGCTCTTGTCCATGAGGATGTCATTATGGATAGAATTATGGATTCATAGAATCAACCCAGTTGGAAAAGATCTTTATGGTCCTCCAGTCGAACCGTTTCGCAGCACTGCCAAGGCCATGGCTCTGAGGGCCTCATCTACACGGTGTGTGAATGCTTCCAGAGATGATGACTCCAGTACTGCCGTGGCAGCCTGTTCCAATGCCTGAGAACCCTTTGGGGAAGGAACTGTTCCTAATCTCCAGTCTAAACCTCCCCTGGTGCAGCTCCTTCTCTGCCTCACTGCTGGGGTTTGGATATTTTCCTCCTAATGCTGCTCTGTTTGGCCTCCTGCTGTACCTGAGAAGTCTCTGGGATCCTCAAGATACACTATGGGGCTTTATTGTAACCTAAGGTGCTCCAGCCCTTCCCTGCTTGGGTGAACCCCAGTGTCTCCTCTCTTGATCCCACAACTGCTTATGTGGAAGCACATGTATTTGTGTGGACATCTGTGTGTGTGGACCTCTGTGAATTCATGTGTGTGCAAAGCTGTGCCCAGCCAACATGTTATTGAGGAGGTGCTGAACTGGGAAAGGACTAACAACTTGGTCTAAGCAGGTACTGAAGTCAGGGAACTGCTGTGCCCAGGAAAGCCAAAGAGCTCATGAGTCCTTTGGTCTCTAGTTCCAAAGATCTTCATGTCCAACACTGAAATCTGAGTGTGAATGACCAGCAATTGGCCCTGGCAAAAAGGCATGTCTGCTTCAAGGTCACACATTCCAACACCTGCTCAGTTCCCTGACGGGGTCAGGGAAAGATGCTCTTTCCCCCAGGGTTGGTGGTGGCAGAAGGAAGGACACTGTGAGATACGGAAATGTCTGTCCTGGGAGCTTCTTCCCTGGTGAATTCCTCCTCTAGGCAACTTCTGGTTTCTTCCAGTCAACAACTTTCTTCCTTCTATTGCAGTCTGGCTTTCCATGTCCATGGACACATTTGAAGCCTTCTGGTGGGAAATGCGGGTTAGAACAGCTAGCTCTCTAGCTACCTCATACCCATGAGTCCATTTCTCCTCATCCACCCTTCCCCTTGGGCATTGGTTTTAGTTGGACTATTGCTCTCATTTTGATCTCATCCATTGACACCACAAGTGGACGGAAAGAATTGCACAGCCATGTGCATGGAGACATGTGAGAAAACATGCTTATAGCCACACACACACACAGAGTGCAAACATGTGACACACAGATGTGTGTGGTCACATGTATGCAGGGAAAAAGGGGAAAAAAATGAAGTCTTAGCCTTCATTTTTAAAATGACAGCTCTCAAACCAGCTCCCGGTGACTATTCCTTAACACTCAAGTAGTTTCTTTCGTACTACAATCAAACCTTTATTTGTGCAAAAAGGGACATTGGTGCATTTTTTGCTCTCAATTCAGAAGTCTAAAATGCAGGTATTTTTACATAAACCTACCTACATAAACTTCACACACAAGCAAAACACAGCAGTGGAGATGCCTAAGTGATAATTTCTCTCTTACTACAGCAGAAATCTGGTTTAGAACCCATAAACTGTGCTTTTACTTTATCTATTTCACTTCATTCAATACCAGTGGAGAACAGGGTGATCAGCCAAGCCACAGTTATTTATGTTCAAGGTATTTGACCTGAATCATTACCCCTTCAGGCCTTCAAATAAACTTTCTTCACAGAGTAGAGCTGAAGAGCTCAACTGGAAAACACCTTCAGCAGCACTCTTCAGATGATCAGTGTCTTGGATACTTGTTGAATGCCTCTATTTAGATTCATTGTCCTCTTCTGTGATCATTTCTTTTTTAGATAAGCTCTGCAAAAATGTTTTCACAACATTCAGAGAATATTGTGAGTTTCCTTTTACCCCAAGTAAACGTGTCCACAGAGTACAGATCTACTTCTGTATCAACGGACAGGACATAGAGGACACAATAGTATGCAACTGATTTGATCTGTATGCCAAGCATACCTGAAAATGACATGAAAAATGACATGAAAATTACCTCTTTTAAAAGAAAAAAAAATATTAAATAGGTAGATATGAGTTTTTGGGTAAGTGATGGTGGCAAAACATGTTCTCCTTCCACTAATGCACACAATATCACAGCTTTAATTTACTATTATTTCCAAACATGTCACATACTTATCTTTCTGGCTATCAGTCTTTTCAAGGCTTGTTTCACCTCTTTGTTCCTCAAGCTGTAAATCAAAGGGTTCATCATTGGAGACATCAGTGTGTAAGAGAGAGACAACAGTTTGTTACTGCTGCTTGAATAAAAAGCTTTGGGTCTCAGGTAGGTCACAATTCCAGATCCGTAAAACAGAGTAACCACCACCAGGTGAGAGAAGCAGGTAGAGAACGTTTTTCTCTTGCCCTTAGCTGTTGGCATCTTGAAGATGGTGTGGAGAATCTGGACATATGACACAACTATAAATAAGAACGGGACCATGATGAAGACGACAACTACTATGTAGATGGTGATTTCATTCTTGTAGGTGGCCCCACAAGCCAACTTCAGTAGAGGTGGCAGGTCACAGAAGAAGTGATTGATCCTCTTGGGCCCACAGTATGGAAGGGTAAAGATCAAAGTTGTCTGCCCTAAGGCCACCAAGACCCCAACAAGCCAAGACACAGCTGAAAGTAGGAAGCATGTGTTCCAGCTCATCACGGTCATGTAGTGC